GCTCAATCATAACTATAATGAGCAGTAGCATCAATACTGCAATATTGTGTTTTACCCTTTGAATATTTTTGGTTAACCAGTTTTCTTTGTTCTTCTGCTAATTTAGTGTTTTTATTATAATAATTTCTTTCTACTTTGGCCTTGGATAGATGTTCTTTAAATCTTTTGAGCAAATCTTTAGCTTCTTCTTCTTGGCGAGCATTGTAATGTAAACCATCTCTAAAATGTTGACAAGTATCACATAGATCAGTCCTTGGACTCATAATTTGAATTTCTGGTGTTAATTGATGTCATAATTTTCTGAAAGCATCATATTTCAAAGATTTTAATTTGCTATCTTCTTCTAGACCAGCTAGAAAATCTTTGTGGACTGATTTATAACTCATTTCAGCTGGTAAAAATATAACTGATTGGGTTATTCTATTGATACTTCTGCCTGGACTTGGTAATCCATGTAAATTTGAATATTGCAATAAAAAATTCTTAACTAATTGTGCCATTCCAAGATTAACAATTACACGTGATTTATTTTGAGGAATTTTATTAGTATTACCATGAATACAATCCATCAAACCATCTAACTTAAAATGATTTTGCAAAGCTAATAATTTGTCTTTACTAATACCACATAGTTTTAAAAAAACTGGTTGACAAATGGGTATTGATGAATTATACTGATAATTGTAATTATATTTATTTGTTTTGTCATTTTGATCCTGTAATTTAAAAACCATCAATTGTGTTTTAATACAAAGATCTAGTTCATGTTTTTCTAATCCTTTTAATTGAAATTGTCTTTCTAAAAAATTTTTAAATCCAATTTTTTTAAAACATATCCTATTTATTTGTTTACGACAGCTGCAGTTTGATTCTTCTTCAAAAAATAATTTCAAATTTTGGACTGCATTAAGTACCAATTCATTTGGCTCATATGTTTCTAATCCTAAATCACTTGGGAAAATTAAATTTTCTGATGATAATTCTATGTCATCTTCTAAATTTGTAATTTCTAAATTTAAATTAGATATGAGATCACCATAAATTAAAATTAAATCTTCAGATGATTCAAAATTTGAAGACATGTTGTAGTTAAACAATTGTTTTTTGATAAATAAGGATTAAGTTTTTATTTCTGATGTTTTATGTTAGATGTTTTATTTTTTTTAAAAAATTATTTGTAAGAAATTTTCACACTATTTATAAAATAAATTAAAACAAATAATAATTTTTGCCTTAAAATTTGGCCATTTCACCAAATTTATTTTTAATAAATTTTGTCTTACCAAAATGAAAACTCGGCCATTTCACCAAAATTTATTTTTAATTTTTGTCAGCTATTTCGCCAAAATTTATTTTCAAATTTTGGGGTTCAAAACGATCAATTTCCGTGTAACAAATTTTCAGGAGTTATTTTCTCAAAAAAGTTCACTATACTTATACACGGTTTTTGCTAGAAAACCCCCCATATTTATATGGGTGGGTGTTTAGACATTAAATTCTGATTGGCTAATTTGAATTTCACATGTGATTGCAAATTCACAATCATTTTCACGCAAACATCACCCAATCTTGTTTCAAGAGAAAACTTACTTTAAGAGTTTTGAGTCACAGCATTGATCCATCTCAGTTACAGTACGTAACCAAAAAAAGACAATCCGTATAAAATGTATGAAAATTAGTTCGTTTGATATGTTGAAAGCAGAACTTTATTAAATGAGCTTAATATGAAAAACTTTCACCATTGCTTTTGATTACACGCTGACATTCCGACTTTGATCAAATTAAAATAAATCGAGAATTAGGCCCACTTTTCGATGACAAATTGTCCCAAGCATTTAACTTCCATTCCAATTATTTGATAAAAGAAAAACTGGTGATTGTGGAATATCACATGATTTCAATGTAATTTCATCATTGACTCGTTCACTCTATAAGCCATATCACCTGTTCCCTTCAACTTTATTGGTATTGAAATAGAATTTGAGATGAGAATACTTTATAATTTGGTGTGAATGAATATATGTTTCTAATAATGAATTACAAAAAAAAAAATACATTTTAAAAGCAAATTACTCAGAAACCAAATGTCGAATTTGATTGTAAAAGGCAAAGTTTTGTTTTTAAATTTATTTGTGACGATTCTAATAAGAAAATTTCTTAGCAAACACGTAGTGTATATACACGTGTCACGTGCATTACATAATAAAATTTGCATCAATAAAAAAAATTAACTTTTTTTTAGTGTTTTGCTTGAGGGTTTGGGACACCCTGAAACACATAACATTTCATTTTGCATCTTACATATGATTCGTATGTGCGTATATATAACACGAGACAAGGTTGATTTGTTTTAATGATGGGATGATCTGATATGATAAAATAAAGTGATGGTTAGAGATTGTGTGGTTGGCACTTGTTCAACTTCCCAAAAATGGGCCAAAAAAGGTTGTTTGGATCAAATGATGGGATGATCCAATGTGATTGTCGATTATCTCGTAGCCATAGACCTTTCTTAATTGTTAATATTAATTTATAAGTACGAATAAATATTGGTTTAACATTAATCGGATAAAGGCTTCCACATGAACCAATATTTACAATTTGCATCATATTTCCCAAGAAATCTTTCATTGTTTCTTTTTTTCATCTGATTTCGAGTAGATAAATTACAAACAATTCAATTTTTGATTTGACCCGAAGCTAGTTTAGAGAATTCAAAAAAAATTTAGGGTCACAGCATAAATATTAATCTCGACTTCGATTTCGATTTCGATTTCAATTTTCGCTTCTAATACTAATACTAACACTAAGAGTATTTCAATTTTCTGAAAACTAGTATTAATATCAGCATTAACACTAGAATTAGCATTAGATTAGTATTAGTATTAGTATTAGTATTAGTATATTTTTTCGAAAGTTTCGCCATCGTATGAATTAAATTTATAATTAAAACTTTTGGGCAGGTCAGCTAATTTATATTTCACGCGCGAATCTAGATTACACGACCAAGAATACATATGTAAAATAACTTTCTTAAATATTTATAAACTATGATAAAGAAATGGGAGAAATGATGTCAAAAATTTAAAATCAAGTTTTTATTTTATTTCGCTTTATTTTGTTTGCTTGATTCTATTTTAGGATTTTCTCACTTTATGTAACTCGCTGTTTTTAAGATATTTATAATACATTATTGACAAGGTTTCAAAGAATAAATCCATATATTTCAACTTTGTTACATTATTACCGATGATGAAATAAAAGACAACCAAACATCTTCAATAATTAATTAATAATGATTGTTTTGAAAATTTTAAAATACAATTCTGCTTATTGGGATTAGTAAATATTTCTGATCAAGGAAGAAGCTATTGCATGGAAGAGATTGGCAAAACCGTAAATTTTTATGAAAAGGAGATTAAAAGCGTTTGATCAAATATTGATAAAGAGGTACTCAAAAAAGAACAGATAATGTAATCTTGCTATGAGAAATAGTAATTATGCTGAAATATGCAAATGAATACAGAAACTTTGTTCTCAAAAACATATCATAATACATAAGGATTCTAAATGGAGAAAATCTTATCAAATAATTACAATGAATTTAAAAAATTCAAATCAGCTTAATTATTTAATGAACACTCATATAAATGAATTGTTCGGGATGAGGATTATGATCATTTGAAAAAGAATACTATGAGGAAAATTAGGATTTATGTGTAAATTTTATTTTTATTTTTAATATATATGATATTAAATAAATTTATAATAAAAAATAAGAGTAAACTAACATACTAATACATCAATTAGTTGATTAGCATCTGGGTTGCAGCTAGAGTTTAATTATTAAAGTTATAAAATAAAAAAAGTGTAATGAATGGAAAATTTGAAGTATCGTAACCTTCAATCTATTCATCAGTTATAATATTTTCAATTAATTAATTTTTATCATCCACAATTATTAGCACACCCTTGGTTCCAAATACCATTACACACATAACAACTATTATTAAACAAAAATATTAATATTAATATGCATCATGTAACAAATATTAACACGCATTTATATATGTACACTTACAATTGTGCTTTACATTTGCAAGTCATGTGATTACATCCACCATTTTTCTGAATCAAAAAATTACATCTTGGGCACCGTTTCCACCCTTCCTTTTTTACTAAATTAATGACATCTAAATCTTCAGGCGATCTTTGATCAGCAGGTAAAGCTTGATATTCTTTACAGGTGAAACCTTAAAAATTCAATTAATTAATAAATGGTAAATAGTAATTATTAATAATATTAAATGTATCGGACGGATACTTACCATTATGCCAAGGAGAAACCTTACATTCGGGACAAAAACTTTTATGGCAAGATGGACAATTAACAGAACGAGCGCTACCATCATAGTCACTAAAATCAATAATCGTACTACATTTTTTATTAGGACAATAAACCTATTATTCAAATTAATGTAATTAACCAAATCAAAATTAATACAAATTAATACAAACCAATCAATCATCAATTAGTTTGTTAGGTTTACCTTCTTATCACCAATTGCCATTTCTGCCATCTTTCGATAGTATTTTTCAAGGTCTTCCCTACTTAAAGCTTGTTCAATAATTCCTTCTGAAATCCCATCTTTTTGACATGTGGCTGATTTAACTGGACACAAAATTGGAAATTTAATATTATCCCCTTGAATTTCTACATTAACATATTTTGATATACATAAAAAGCAAAACCCGTGCGAGCAAGATAGTATTACACCCATAGCAGCATCAGCATTATTCCTTGATGACCGCGATGAATTTGCACCACCGCCTCCACCTCTTCCAAGAATAATTAAGCTGCAAAAACATATACTACAATTATGATTATTTGATGATGATGATGATGACGACGACGATGATGATGATGATGACGACGACGACGACGATGGTGATAGTGGTGATGATGATGATGATGATGATGATGATGATACCCGATTCTTTCTTTGTCCTGTTAATTCAATTATATGTGAATTTTTTTGGTTAATTAGTATATGTATGTAACGTGAAACAATGAAGAAATAACTAAATAAAAAAAACCTTACTTTCTGATGGCTTATAATGCGGATTTGGTATGGATTGATAATCAATAAATAAATTATTGTTAATATTAATGTTTTATATGTTATTGTATAACAAGTGATTTTAAATTAATTGTATTTTTACCAATGGTTGAGTAAAATTATTGATTTCATATTGTTGAGCGGCAAGCTTTAAATTTCAAAAAATTAAAACAATTAATTTGTAGTTAATTAGTTCAATTAGTACAAGTAGGCGGTTCATATATATATATATATATATATATATATATATATATATAAATATTTACTATTTCTTGATCTATATTTATTTTGCCACCATTTTCACTATCATGTAATTGTCTAGCCAATTCCTCATCAGCAAGTAATTGAAGAGTTTTTTTATCCTTATAATTGTGATTAATTACCAATATTAATATTGATAATAATAACTAGTTATATATTAATTAATTAATGCATTTATTGTAACTCACATTTTCATCATCATAACTACTATTCCTATGGTATGGCGGTGCAATGAACTCTTGATTAACAAACAATCTCTCGGTATTATGATGCATATTAACTTCCTCGTTACTCTGTAATTGTATAGCAAGCTTTTCATCCTCGAGATATTGGACAACTCTTGCATACTTTAATTGAATCATAATTAGTATTATTTAATTAGATGATGTTTTAATAAAGTTTATTTTATGTTGTAAAAATTAATAATTATTACTGTAATTATTAATTTTTTATTAATTAATATACTAACTTCTTCATCATCCGAACTTTTTTTTTCTATTTTTTCTGAAATTTGTATCAACTTTTTTGAATTTTGTTTTTCTAATTAGTAAGAATTCATTATTTAGATGTAGATAAATGGACGAATGACTCACTTCCTGTTTGTAACGATCGATTCTACCACTTGTTGTATCATTAAAAGCTGCAAATGCCAACCTTTCATTGCTAAGTACTCTGGTAATTCGTTTCAACTTTATATATGATGATAATCAATTTCTATTTTACACCAAAAAAAAACCATTTAATTATTATCACCAACCTCTTGATCAAGTTTTGTAATTCTGGCACCTGTCTCATCATTATATCTTTTCCTATTTTCTTCCTCAAAAAGAATCCTACTACCAATTTCTCTTAACTTTTTTTAAAAACATATTGTTATTATTGCTATTATAGTAAACAACCATCAACAATAATTTCAAAATTGTTTTACTTTTTTAAGCTGTTGATCATTTTTCTCGTTATTTGGTGATCTTTGTTGTCCATTTCTATCGACAATCCTTTGAATAATGTTAATTATACCGTTTATTCTTTCGGTGTTGCCTGAAACCGTGTCAACAACCTTCACAACGATAATTAATAATTATTAGTGTAAATTATAATTGAAAAAAGAATCAATTAACAATTGGTAGTTATTAAACCTGTGCATCTCCATTAAATTTTTTAGTATTAACTTGCTGAATAAATTATTAATCGTTAATAGTAAATTATTATTATTGTTTGTTCATTGATAAAATCAATCAATGAATTAATCAGATAATTTGTTTTACCCTGGATGCTAATAAAGAACCAAGTAAACCAATTGTTTGCTCTAAGTCCATTTTGTTTTAAAAAAAAATTTAAGTTTTAAAAACAACAAACAACGAAAAATGTTTAGAAAATAATATATATATTTTTTTCTATTAATTTTTCATTGGTGTTTAGTCAAACAAAAACAGTTACAAAAGAATTTGTTTTTATGCCTTTTTTTGGCTTCAATAAATTTTGTGAAGTAAATGAAATAATTAATTTGGGAATTGTTTTGACGTAAATATTTTTAAAAAAAACATCACACGGTTTTTTTTTATCATCAATAAAAAATATTAGACTGAGAGTAATTATCACGATTCTTTATTTGACGCAAGTAAAAATAATTTAAACCTGCTTAGCAATTTAAATTTAGCGATTTTTTAAGTATTAATTTTTTTGATTGTTTATATATATTAATATTGTTCACATTAAGAAATAGTATGATGTAATTTATTTTTACATTTGAAAAATTAAAAAACCATTTTAAAAATATCGGATTCTTTATAAAATTTCAATCCTTTATGACGCGAATAAGCTGTACTATTATAAATCGTGTTTTGGTTTAATGTGATGAATGAATGACATTTTTCTAGTTCATAGACGGATCAGGAAAATATATTATTATTATTATTATTATTAGGATCATGATCACGTTTATGATTATTTCTTTTTTCTTTTTACAATCTTAATCATTTCTGTAAATGATATCAAGATTTATTTTTAAACTAAAGAAAAACGGATTTCAGAAATTCTTATTTTATTTTAATGACAAACCAACATGAAATCGTATCTTTAACAATTTTGTGAATTTGTAACCAAAAGCTATTAATATTCTATAATGCGTGAATTTTTCTATGAGAATTATATCCAGTAATGGACATGTAACTGTTATATGATATCAAGAAATAGTTGTTATATTGCTATAAAAAAATATGTTAAACGGTTATTATTATTTATTCTTTTTATTGCATACAAAGGCTTCTAGATCTGTTAACCAATTTCTATAAGCATCCATAAATTTTCGGTTTTAAGAGAAACAGGATCTAATGTCAACGGAACAATTTTTTCTAATGGTTTAAAAGGCATAATCACCACATAGACAAAGATCTAATCGTTGAACATCCATATTTCGTGATATATCTGTGCGACTCTTAATGCATATTAATATGTGCACTTTCCACCATATATCGATACATTCACTCGTCTTCGTTTCTCGCCGCATTCCAAACTTTGGTTTCCATAGATCCAGGCCTCTGCTTATAATTTCTCCAAGCTTATTGTATAATTCCTGCATGTCCAATATCGGTTTTAGGTCTGGAACACTCGTGATTCCAATGATCCTGCATCAGGTCTTTAGGTTCAACAATTTCCGTAAACATTTTCCTAGGCTTTACATTCACATTAACGCGACCTACCTTCCAACACCCGGAACAGATCGCAGTTCCATTCTTAAGTGTTTTTGGTCTGTAGTAATTGCTGTAATTATTATAATCTACAAACCTACCTCCGGAATAAGAAGCAAATAAGCAATATCTATGATACGTACTAAATTTATTCTCGCTTAATAAATTTTGAAGATTGACCCTTGCCCATAACCTCACTGAATAAAACTTTCATCCTGTTTCACAATAGGCAAGTTGTCGTATGATCTTTTAAATCCCAAGGAGTTTACCATCATAATGAATATAATTGTGGATATATGCCATGTCATACTTCATATCATATCCAGGACGGTTATTAAAGGGTTTGGGTAATGGTTGTTTTGTTACCGAGAATAATAGTGATATCAAAACCAGACATATTTAGCGGTTATAATAAATTTAATGATTTATATGTGATTTATTAACCTGTAGTTTAAGGCCACATGATTCATTTTGTGTAATCCTGTTCGAATCATTTTGATAATAATAAAAATAATAAAGCAAGAAGAGAATTCTATATTAATAGTAATCTAAGCCATGTGTAGTCAATCCAAGTTTAGAGTCCCTGCATATAGTCGCACAAAAATACACACGATGTGGATGTTCTATGAACTTCGAATTAGCTCGATGACACATGAAAACACAAAAAGTAATGATTACGGGTGTATGTGTATATATATCAACCAAAGAATTTGAATGTCATGTTAGCTTGCTAGTTCCACTAATATTAATATTGTCTATGTTCTACGAGATTATACCGCTAAATTATTTTCTCATAATATAAAGCTTTTCGATAAGAAAAAATACAAATGACACAAAAAGGATATGAATGAGGAGATTTTATTGTTCTTTATCAGTAAATAATACTACATAGAATCTGGCTCATTAAAATTCATGTGTTATGGGAGTTGAGATCTCCGCCGTCTTCGAGATCGTCTCATTTTTCATTCTATAAAAGCAATCGGCAGATTGAAAAGGTTTAATTTTCCCATGAATGATGAAGTTAGGCAAAGTCAAGAGGTCTATGACACATATATTCAGTGCTTAGCACTTGTGATTCTAATAGAATTGTTTTATGAGGCAAAGATCAGAGAAATGGTCAGGATAACGTAATTACCAATCATGTATTTCTTTCTTCTAGCAGATTCTCAGATTTGGCGAATGAAATAATATAAAAAAGCTAGATTTGCGAGGCATCATTTCTCATCTTCCCGAAATTTTTATAAGGTAATGTATGTTCATTATTATGCATTGTTCATGACAAAGCCCTATCTATGAAAGAGAAATTTTATTCATCATGGGTTTTCGTATTTAAGAAACGTGAAAAATGACCAACGATATTACTCTCAATTGTCTTGCTATTCCTAATAGCCCACGTAATCAACTTTCAATCAATAGTGTTGTACTCACAATTACGACCTTCAGAGATGCAACGGTTGATGATCTCCAAACCGCAATTCAGAATCAATTTGTCGCCTCCATTTAATAATATTCTTCTTGATATTCGTCAAATTTATCATCCTGTAAGTGTAGATGAAAGATGTATGCGGTCACCAGCTCTAATCTCTAGTTTTTTTCAACGAGGATCCTTCTAGCATACTCCCTACGTGAACCAGAGAATGAATAATTAGATTTTTTTTATTTGTATATTGTCGTCTCTGCAACATTTTTTATTTCATAAAATAAAATAAGATTCTATAAATAACCATTTGTCTTGATCAAAATTATGTTCGATTCATGTTTTTTATCTGAGATTAATTCGGAAAAATTGAAGTCATTCATTCACATAGATATATCAAATATTGTCTCGCAAATCTAGAAATAATAGGCAACATTTACAATTTCAGAATCGGGAGAAGTATATATATGTCATGGAAGGTGGAAATATAACTATTGCAAATAAGAACACGCAAGTCGTGACGGAGGTTAGACAGAAACTAATTTTAGCAAGGTTCAGTAAAACACGGAGGTTAGAGGTAGGTTATTAGAGGTTAGTGGAAAGTGGTTAGGAACAGGGAAAACACGGTGGTTGGGATTTACTAATCGGTAAGTCTCGGAAAATAGAGTTGTGAGGGAAGACGGTATTTGATTATGGAGAGGTATATAGGTATCTAAAGGCTAATAATAATTTCGATTCGAATATTCTCAGCAAAGCTAGTAAGGATAATATATATAACAAATAATTTATATGTACTTTACTTTTTTTAATAAAATAATTAATATTGAATTATATTCATATGGTACTCTAAATTTTAATCTAAAATAAAATAACCTGCCTGGCTGGCATTATCAATAAAATTTCCCTTTATTATATATAAACCTGAGAATCGTTTTTTTTATTTGAATTCATCTTGTATGATTATTTTCCATACTCAAGTAGTAGATCCTTCAAAGACTTTGGAATTTTTAACACATCCCGAACTATATTTCTTCCATTATGATCGACTATTAGGTCAAGATTTTTCATAATTGAAATTTGTTTCATGATTTCTTCCTGAAAATCACAGAAGTCTGAGTGACTAAAGATCAATAAACTATGATTGCATAATTTTACTTACATGAAAAATTGCCATCAGATAAAGAATTCCCTTGTACTTCGATATGGCATCAAGTGAAAATGGTAACAATGTAGAATATAGTTCAGACGTCAGAAAAGTGCCATCTTTTAGCATGTTGAGCGAGTATAATGTCTCTTTTTAAATAAATATAAATATTTACCAATCACTTGTAAACTAAAAACTTTAATTTCAGTTGCATTTTCTACTGGAATTTGAAGGTGATCAAGCAGGATCGCAATTAGGTTTAAAATATCAGTATGTAGAGATTTTTTTGTATCGTTAACAGCGTGATCATGTGGTGGTGGCAATGGCAGACCAGATACTTCTACGTGAAAAATTTCTTTATCATCGAATAACCGGACACCTTTCAGGATAATTAAGGAACAATTGTTAAATAATAAGTTGAAATTATGAATATACGTCATTGCTTACCTCTTACATCAACCTTAACAATACCAGAGTTTGTAGGTGTTTTCGTTAATTTTGATGCTGGTGAATGTGATTCGATCCAATCAAATCACATATTACCAAATGTGACTTCATAAAATTTGAACAAAGAAGAAATGTTTTGAACGATATACTTTCGTTCTCCAATTTTTCTTGACAAATTAGGAAATATATCGACCATATTGTAGCTAGAATCAAGAAACAATGCTAAGTGACAAATCATCTGAAGAACAACAATAAATGAGAAAAAACTTACAAGTCCATTAATACCTTTTCACAATAAAGGCGAAACGTGTTGTTTTCATCACCATCAATTTTTTGCATTATTTCCGACTTAAAATTATTTCTCAATTTATATAACATTGTAGCAAAGATGTTAAAAATTTATTGGCTTCTGATATAACATTAATTAATGTCGCGAATACCCACCTTAAAAACATTATCAATATAAATATTTAAAGACTCCGTCCATACAGATGGTTTTTGAACTACAACTTGATCATGTTTCAATAATTGTCTCATGACATTAAGATACTGAACAATCCTTCCATCATTCATCTGTCGTTTATTTGGAGTAAGAAAAATTGTATCTTCATTATAATTTCGTGATGAGGGAGACAGTGTTTTTACTCCACTTTCTTCATTTTGCACCTAAATGGTAATAAGATTATGTCAAATTAGAAAATTAGCTACATTTTCAACAATTAAAAGTTTTAGAAAAAATTGCCATACCTCATCTAAATTCCCTAACTCTGTTACTATTTCGAATTCATCATTTGATCCTGATATCAAAAAAGGATTATCATCAGAAGAGAGTTGATCTTGGGAAATGGATGATTTTTCACCTGGTACCCAAAAAGGATTATCTTCGTTATCATCATCATTATTACTATTCTGTTTGTATTACAAAGAATAATCAATTAAAATTTTGCTAGTCCAGCAATAGTAAATCAATGAAAACCATCACCTTATGAGTTCTGTTACGTTTTGATGTTCTTTCATTGCTATTATCGAGGAACCTCTTCGCGATGCTGGTGGTAGTTGATGTGGCATATTTTTGAATTTGTTCTGTCACCACCGTAGCAACGGTTATATGTTGGTTTGTCTGTGTACGAGAAATGAATCAAGAGTGAATTTTTGATCCATCACGTTAGCTAATTGGGGAATGAGTGAAATACCTGCAACTCCTGAATTTTCATCCTTACCTGTTCTTCTTGTAAATTGTTTCTCGCTACAATATTTTGTCTTTCATTTTGAAATTCCCAAAAATGCTTTATTATTGATGACCGTTTACTTCCCTACAAGCAATATAAAACATGAGTACCTGTGCCTAACAGACTTTGTTTTATAACTGGTCCAATTCACATACAAGAAAAAATACAATAGGAAGCGTCATGAACAGTCAAGCACCTAGATTGTATTCAATTATTGAATAACTATCTTTCGCAAGCACTATGGTTCCCAAAGTCCATTGAGTATAGCTCATCAACAGATATGCAATCGTTCCACTACAAGTGCCACAGGTTGTAGAGTAGTTGATGTATTCAATTGTACTAAGGGTCTCAAGGTGGTTCGTGGAGTATACTTCACCAACAGACAAGCAGTCGTTCCCACTACAAGCACCACAGGTTGTAGGGTAGTTGATGTACTCATGATCCTAATCCAAATAGTATGTACACTTTACTTGCCTTAAAAGCAGTTTTCCACTTTTGCACTTTCTGTCCAAACTCGGATACTTCAGTGTAGAATTTACTGATTTCATTCAGTTCTTTCTTGTAGCGATTATACTCAGTTTTCATGTCTTCTAAATTGCCAGCAGAAAGTCAAAAATCTAAAAATTTTTTGAGTGAAGGCTCACTTGTACTTTCCCAAAAGGCTAAATGATCATAAGTGATAGGTTATGTTATAAATCATAAGAACATTGGCACAGTTTATGAATAAACTTTATCTTACCAGGGTATTTCACAGCATTTAGACATTCAGGAAGAAGGTGCATAATATCAAGTTAAAGGTGGATCGAGAAAATTTTGTATATATATTATTTATTTTTTTCTACACAAAAAAGGAAATAAAAATGTACATAATAATAACAAATTACAACATAGCGGGCTTTATCTGTGATTGGTTGATCTATAAAGAAATTGATTGGATAATTTTATAATATGATGACGTCGCCTTTAATATTAATATACTTTCAAGACAATAAAAATATAAAAATAGAAAATTCTTGGCACATTTTTATTAATAACTTGTAATGAATTATTCAGTAAAGACATTAGTGTAAAAATTCTTGTAATAAAAAAAAATGTGATAAGTACACCTATTACTATAATACAAATATCTCATATCAAAATGACTAATTTGAGAAAAAAACCATGCCCACCCATAAAATAATATGTTGAAAGCAATTTTCGTTTGATACAATCAATAGATGTATTGTTTGCTCATTATCTATGATATATTAAACTATTACACAATTTTTATCTAATAATGACTATTAAATAAAACTAATAACATATCACATACCATTATAGTCAGCCCCACAACCATTATTCATACCTTCTCTTTCCAGTAATCTTTACATTATTTAGAACTATGAGATAGCCAACCAAAGCGTAAAAGTTATATAATTAACATTATAAATGTACCTTTTTAACTTTTACAATAAAAAATAATTTAATTTAAATAAATAAATAAATAAGTGCTTATTTATCAAGACTTCTCAAATTACTAACCGGTATATTAAACAGAATATAGTAGAGAGTATGGATCCTGGTAGTTATTTAAATTATTAATTTAAAATTATTATTTTTAAAATGAACATATTATTTACTAAATGCAAAAAGTCTTCTATAACTAACTTCCGAATTACTCCACCTTTTTTAACATAGAATGAAATGTGTATTTTTGAATATGATAATTTTTATTATCTGCGTTCTTATTTTCTGTATTTATGAAGCTGCATTCCTATTTAAAGTCAGGTGATGGTAATATATATATGATAATCATTTCTAAATTCAACCAATCATCATATTTAAGCCCACTATGTTCAAATTTAAATTTAGATGCGCACATTATTATCTTTATTTATTATAATAAACAAGTGTATAAACCTAACAAAAAATCAGACGCATATAGTGTGAGTATTTTATTATGGGAGTTGACTAGGTAATTTAGATGTAAATCATCAAAAATATACTTTGATATTTGATATTATCAAAGGAACTCATGAAGAATCTATTCCTGATACACCTGATGAATATGTTAACTTATACAAAATAAAAATCGATCTGTATTATTTCCATTTTATTAAAATTTTTGTTATTTTTCTTAATCATTTTATTTATTTGCAGAACATTGGCGGGATAATCCAGAAAATAGGCCTGACAATAATAACATTTTCTGTCTATGACCAACAATGTGTGGAAAAATTCATTGGTAAAGGTAGTCAATTTTTTATTAACTTGCTATTATTTCATTTATTGTTTGCTTTTTAAGTTGTCTTTTCTCATTTTGATTATTAATAATGGTAAGCCAATTTAAATCTAGGCCATAATTATTTTTTCATGGGGAAGTTGTCCAAATTTTCAATTTTTCTTCACAACAACCATATCTTTTAAATCATTTACCTAAAAATATTCCATTGATTCATCCAAGTTTAATTCCATTCATATAATTTCTTTCAATTTTAAAACAATTATAAAAAACTACAAAGTGAACATAAAATTATAAAATTATTTATATATATAGGGATAAGTGTATATGAAAAGTAATAAATATAATGGTTCTAATGAATACCAAAAAGCCATTGATTTTTTAGAAAAAGGATGTGATTGTGATTGTTTTTCCAGAATTCCCAAGGAACAATTTGCAGAATTAAGAGAATCCTTTCAAGCTCTTTCTAAAACAGAACAAGACATATTTTTAATGGCTCAACTTAAGGCAATGGATGGTGGATCAATAAGCACTAGTAGACGCCTTAAAAAGAAAACTAGATCTAATAAAAGAACTTTCTATCATTGGGATCACAATACACTTCTTTGTCAAGAAACTTACCTCAATATGTTGGGGATTGGCAGGACTTATTTTGAAAATATCAGAAACCATATAATAAACAATGGACTTATACCAAGAGTTCATGGAAACATAAAAAGAATGCCTCAATGAAAAACAAAGATGGTGATTGATAAAAATGTTGCTGAAATTGTAAAGAATTTTCTGGAAAATTATGCAGTAGTTCATGGATTACCAAGTCCAGGAAGTATCAATAGGATAACCCAATCAGTTATATTCTTACCAGCTGAAATGAGTTATAAACCAGTGTATAGAGATTTTCTGGCTGGTCTAGAAGAAGATAGCAAATTAAAATCTTTGAAATATGATGCTTTCAGAAAGTTGTGACATCAATTGACACTAGAAATTCAAATTATGAGTCCAAGGACTGACTTGTGTGATATTTGTCAACATTTTCGAAATGGTTTACATTACAATGCTCACCAAGAGGAAGAAGCCAAAGATCTGCTCAAAAGATTCAAAGAACATCTGTCCAGGGCAAGATTAGAAAGAAATTATTACAATAAAAATACTAAATTAGCTGAGGAACAAAGAAAATTGAATAATCAAAATTATTCAAAGGGTAAAACACCATATTTCAGTATTGATGCCACTGCACATTATAGTTATGAGTGAGCCCAAAATGTTTATGTGTCTCATTCTGATCAACAAATAAGTAAAATATATTATCTCAGTCCTCATAAAGTCCATTTATTTGGTATTCAAGATGAAGCAGTAAGGGAACAAATTAATTATGTTCTTGATGAAGTTAAAATTATAGGTAAAGGCCCCAATGGTACACTTAGTATGATCTTTGATGGAATTAAGAGATTAAATAAGGGTGAAAAGCATTTAAAGATTACTTGTGTTAATGCTGGGGACAAAATAAAAACAATGTAACAATTTGGTTTTATTTATATTTGGTTATTATGAAACTATTGAATTAAATTTCATGGTCCAGGACATATCAAATTCAAATGTGATGGTAATTTTGGCATGATTAAAAAACTCTACAGAAGAACAAAAGTAGATTGTGTGGGTCATGTGGTTGATGTAGTGAAAAGGTCCAGTCCAGCAGGATTAAATAAAGTTCAATGTTATGAAGGTGGAAAAGGTTTTCAATACTTAGATATTAAAGCTATTTTGGGAATTTATTTTAAGAAATTACCAAGTATGCAAAAATATCAACATTTTCTTTTTGAAGCAATTAATTTTGGTGTGGTTAAAGCTCAGGAAATTGCTAATTGACCTTTTGCTGAATTCAATTTATTGAAAACCAAGAAAGCAGATATTTTAGAAGAAATTAGAGCTTTATCCATTTTAGTATTAACACCACCACCTTTGGATTACAAAAGGCAAGAATATCTTTACCAGAATATTTGCCCATTTGTGAAAGATGAATACAAAGATATTACTTGCCCAAGACCAATATATACTGGCAATGAATAGAATATTTAGAATAAAATCACCTCTATGACTTCTTACTGTCATTAAGTTTAATAAATTTGATTTTTTGATGAATATTATTAGCTTTTTCCATTTTTAAAGTAGAAAAGTACTAAAATAATAATTTATATACTTAATATGCTCTCATAAAAGGGATATAAGTATATTAAAAGAGCAAATAAATAAAAAAAATCATGGTAAACACAATAAATGAATTCCAAGAGAGAAATAAACAACTATTAGAAGAAAATGAAAATTTAAAGAAGCAATTAGCAGATAAAGAAG